AAATATATTAGTTTGATTAATGTAAAATACTTATAAAATCAAATTTATTAAAATTTATTATTTATTATTGTAATTCAAATTAGAAATTATTTAATATATTAATACAGAAATTTAGAAAGTTAATATTGTATATCTGTTGAATTTTTAAAAACAGATACACAATTCATTGAAATATTATAAAATAATACTTACTTCATACATAGTTGGTGGCCCTTGTATATAAATACTACTCATGTTTGTAAGTCTCCTATAATAAAAAAATCCTTCATCAATAATGTTTCATATTAAATCTTTAGTTATTTATAAATCAGTCAACCAAATGGTTCTTTTCTCGAATAATCATACCTTTTACCTCCTTTTGACATTGCTTTTATTGGTCCAATGAAGTCCATGATGTGCTACAGCACCATTATAATTGCTTCTTTTATAGTTTCCAAGTTCCTATAGATATTACTAGAGATTTTTGCCTTAATACAACATTTACACTCTATATTCAATTTAACTTTACCTTTCATAACTATTACCAACTGTTGATTCTCCATCTCTTTAATGGTCCTCAAATTTTTATGTTGATGACACATCACATCCTTCTCTGTTGATAGATATGTTGCCCCTTTCCTGTTTCTTGATTCCGCATAATATGCGTTTCCTCTTCTCACTCCTTTTATTCGAACCATGCTCTTTTCATTATGTACCTCAGCTCGATCATTCTGAAACTTAACACATTAGCAATGATCATTGACTTTGACCACTGATATTAATATTCATTTAGATCAGGAATAGAACCTACCTTTCAGTCTCACTGTATTCTCCATATCTTGTTGTTATAAGAGACCATCACCTAAATTAATTGTATTCCTTTTTGTCTGCCCAAACTACCTCCATTTTCTGAACCCTTATTTGACCATCAAAGATTTCTATCCTGTTTGTTATGTTGTTAGCTGACCTAGAATACAATACTTATATCATAACATATTTGTATTACCGCATCAATTTTTTCTCGCTATAAAATATAATTCTTGGCACTTAATGACTCTAAGCTGGTGATATTCCATGAGTCCAATATTTTTCTATTGTTGCACGTGCCTGTTTATTTCAACAAAATATTTTCTTCTCATAAAAAAGCTCTGCTTTCACTAATGAAAGGTGGAAAAACAATGGTTCATAAATTACACTATTTAATTACAACTAAAGGTTATGTTGATACAAATACTTACATTCCTTTCGTGATGCAGGCACACCAGCATGGACACAACAATGCTTCCGGCGTTTGTTTGCAATTTTTTCTCATTTTCCATGCACTCTCCTGTTCACTTGGAGAAAAATTAACAAATCAGTCAATTTCTGTGATTAATTTATGAAATTTTATAATTGTGTTCTAATGGCGTACCTTTGCATATTTGTCGTCTGTCAGATAAAGAAATGAATGCTGATTGTCTAATGAAAACTGTTGTTTGAGCTGAATTTATTAAAGAATGTAGAAAACTTTATAATTTGATTTATTAAAATATATTTAAATATATTAGAAGGATATAACTAGAGTTAGTAAACTGACATCAGAGTCATCTATATTCTTGTTGCGGAACTCGAGCTTCGTGTCTAAAATCATAGATGGCTCTGATGTCAGTTTACTAACTATGGTTATATGCTCCAAATATATTTTAATAAATCAAATCGGCAGTGGAAAATTCATTAATTACTCAATATCTGTGATTAATTTATGAACTTTTATAATTGCATCGTACAGGCTGATCCTTCAAGAACTTTCCAATATATTTTTCGATATAAATTTGTCCCTAATTAAATAATTATTAATGATTATTCTACGCAGTGTTTGAATTGTTGTCGAAGACGCCATTGGTTTTTCATTAATTGCTATCGTTTACGCAGTTAATTTATGAAACTTTATGCACTCGTTAGAAAGACAATACTCGTGCAAATCTTCTCATATAACTTTTGATCATATTTTGCTTCCAGTTTCTTTTAGTATTATATATTTTCACGGACGAGAGTGGTGGTCTTCGTTACGAAATCATGGACGCCATCAAGCAATAATTAATAACTAACAAATTAGCATTAAATTCTTTACGAAAATTATATAAGTATGTTGCTTGAAGTTCCAGCTTTGCAATGAAATTATAAAAGTTTATAAATTAATTATGGAAAGTGTGTAATTTATTAATTTTTCACTGTCGGAGCCCTTCTATGATTTTCTACCCCCTCTTTGTCTTTGTCTGTCAGGTGACGAGCTCTTCGACGACCTCCTTGCCTATTCTATATGCCTATTACTTTTCCGAGCATATGGTCCAAAATCATAGATAGCGCTGATCGCAGGCGGTAAAATTTGTATTTATTCGGCAGTAGAAAATGAATAAACTTCCAAGTTTCTGTAATTAATTCTTGAACATTTGTAGCTGCACAGCAAAGTTGCAATTATAGGCAACATTCTTGTACAATGTTTAATTTAATAATTAATACTTACATGAGATAGGTTTTGTATTTCCTATAGTAAATATGATTACTATAAAAAAGTATTTTTCTTGCATAATATTCTTATTATTTTGTAATAAATATATACTTGCATAAGAAAGCGTGAAAAATAAATTTTTTTATTAAGAAATTTTATTTAAAATTGTTTATTTACAATGTTTTCATAAACGAAAAATGAACACAAAATAAAGAATAGATGAAAAAACTAACAAACTATGGGGACGGGAATCGAATCATTGTCCTTCGGCATAAGAATGTTAAACTATGGCCGTTAGGCTTCGATTCTACTTATATAATGCTAGAAATAAATGTATAATTATGGCAGTAATAAAACTTTAATCGTAAATATTTCATAAACTGTTGAGTAGTTGCCGCTATAATGATATATTTGCTTAAACTGCATGATGATTTCTACAAACCTGCAAAGTTTAATCGGTGTCCCGATTGTGAGTTATCATTTGTAACCTTTTTGTACGTTTTGATTTTTCTGCATGTATAATTTTGTATATATATCTGGTGCAATAAATGTGTGTTATGAAAAAAAAAAAAAGGGCCTGCTAGGGTAGTCTTATTGATGAGTCCGCTAGCAGGACCGGAACGAAACGCATCCCTTCCCTTTCCTTTCGTCCCTCCTAGCTACCCCAGCAACGAGGCTCCCTGTGACCAGCTGGAAGTGAGGACCCCCCACACTATGTTTCTGTAAGGAAAAGATGGCTGATTGCAAAGGGTTAATAAATAACTGTACAGTTTTTCCACCGTTTCCACTGACTACTATTCCTTTTCTTTATAACCCCTTAATTAAAACCATTTTAAATGTAGATACATAAGTATGTGTCCTCCAAATCATATAATGTTACATACAATTAACTCGTAAATCGTGGTTAATAAATTAATATTCTGGAAAATTTGATATGCTTTCGAACAATCGTACAATATACAGGCTTATTTTAGTGTATCGAATTCATCCCTCAAATTATGCTTACACGTTTTGAAACAGTCTGTATTTTATCTCACATTGATTATTATTAAAAATATTATGATGTTTTCTACTATCCTGAAATATTCACTGAAATGTAATTTTTCATTGTATCTATTTTATTTTGAAAAAAATGTGTCATATAGATTATAGTAAACATAATACTAAAACGTTATTTTTAGGTACTCCACATAGCCAGTCAGATCGACATGGTCTGTGAAAGATTAAGGGATATTTTTAACCATAACAACGAACTACAATTACGTGTTAGAATCATAAAAAATATCATAGCCAAGCACCAAAGAATTATAAATTTATCTGCAAATGTTGAGACTGTTTTCACCATTATATCATTGTTACAGTTCTTTTTTAACATTTTAGTTCTCTGTTTCGTGAGCTTTATTCTCGTGACAGTAAGTAAAATTAATTATTAATGTTATAGAACGGTAGGAATTAATCAATTTTGGATCTGATTGGCAATGAAAAATTGTTTGCAATATAAATTGTTAGTTGTTACCTCTGCATAACAACAATTTTATGATTTTTCAATTAATATTAATTGCTATAGTGTCTGTTAACTATTTGAACGATTATTTTCTCAATGAATCACTATTCGAAGAACGAAGAAAAAATTTATGTGCATTTTTGTATAATTTTTCCATCACTTTCCGAATATATAATTATGTGTTTTCAACTCTTTAACGCTAAATTTATCATAACCAATCATTTGGCCGGACTACAAGTGACTAATTATGGTAGACGAAATAGGTTACAGATGAATATCAAAAGAAGCGACAAAAAAGGAAATGAATAATGCAAAATTGATTATACATTACGTATTATTTATAATTATTTATAATATAATATTTATAATATTTCGTATTGTAAAAGAAGTCTTGAAGCAAAGTGACAAACCAAGAGGATGATGTTAAATATCCGACTGTTAGTTAAAAGTTTAACCAGTTAGCTGTCGCGCCCCATTTTGAGAGCGCGCACCCATATGTGTCGCGAAAATCGAGCGATGACGAGTATACTCGTCATTCACGGAGTAAATGTCACTGTTAAAATATTGGATCAAAAAGATGAGTTTATTTTATAAAATTGACAATTTTATTACTAATATTTACTTATTTGGTTAGCATTTGTTCTCTTATTGGTTAGCTTTTATGGATATCTATGAAATTTAGTGACCGTCAAAGAATAGCTAGGTAACTACGAGCCAGCAGCCATCATTGGGTTCAGTGCCTGGTCAGCGTCACGCATTTGTCCCGTGGTGAACCATCCCTGAAGGAACCCTATCATAAATCAGCTTTCCGACTTTTGCTTTTGCCCCTTTTACGCTGACATCTAAAAAACGTTATCATCGCGCATAAATAAATTCGTTATGCGAACTGATAAGCTGTTTCAGCCGGTGCATTCGGGGACGCATGAGTTCGTTTTAAATTATTCATATTTTTTATTCGTTTGTTTTATTCCGGCCTGGCCTCGAAATATTCTAAATATCTTGAAATTTGAGAATATGTTTTATTTTCCCAAAAGTTACAATTTAAATAGCCAATTGTCGCTACTTTTTACGCATGACGAGTATACTCGTCGTGACACAAAATCCTGCCACTTCTCCATGACGAGTATACTCGTCAGTCACAGCTAACTGGTTAAAAATGAAAATTTTGCTATTGAAGGTTTAATAAAAATTATAAAAACATACATTCTTAAATTTATTTGCTGGTAGCCAGGTCCTAAACTGATACAGTTAGTCTCCTATAACGCGGTATTTTTATAACGTGATTTCCATATAACGCGATGCGAAAATTGGGACAGTTCTTCTATAACGCGGTCTCCTTGTAACACGTTTTCCGTACAAGAACATTCCAATAACTCAAATGTCTTGAAAAATTTATCTATGGTAGCACTTATTCGATGTGTTACATTAATAAAACAATCTAATTGTGGTATCCTCAATGTATGAAAAATATGGTAAGAATGTCTGAATTCTGATCAGACTGAAACGGTTTCATAAAAGTGTTTGAGAATAAAACATTTGTTTCAGAAATAAATATAAATAAGAAGAAATATGGAATAACATTAATAGATAGGAGAACTTGTGATAAAAAATATTTTAATAAGAGCATTGATAAGCGTCCGAAAGATAATTATATAAAACAAAGTAATGAACCGTTTAACTTTAACACGTTAGAATCCTATTTTAAATTAGGATGCATATCTGATATGTATCAAATTAAGTTTCCTTGTTAGAAACAATTTTTTTAGTTTATAAATTTACTATATTAATTATTTAAGTTTAACAGAAATAATAACAGTAAATTATGTGGATATTATAACAATATCATAACTTCATAATAATCACGTTTTATAGTTGAAATCCAAAATATTTGATCAAATCAGGATATTTTGTTTCGGTATTACAGTATTTTATTTTAATTAAATTCAAAATAAAAACATTTGTTAAGAATATTTTAGATACGGAAAAGATTTGTTTCAGTTGCACAACTTTTTTAGTTTATAATTTTATTATACGAACTATGTATTCGATAAACCTAAATTCAAATATGTACAAATCTACATATTCATTGCCATTTCTATCGTAAAATTTTATTTATTAATCGTATCAGTGGCAACTTGAAACTTTGTGAGTGCAATTTTTATATAGGTCTGATTTATGTACAATTTATTTATTTCTGTGATTCCATATAACGCGGCACGAATTCATTCGTTTGCATTATTTCTGAGTTTTTTATAGAGCGATTCCTGTATAGCACGACAGTGGTTTCCACATAACGCGGTATAAATTAATTTGATTCGTCTTATTACTATGTTTATCATAACGCGGTTCACGTGGAACGCATTTCCTGATTTCAATTAATTCTGATTTTCCTATAACACTGTTTCCATATAACGCGGTACGCGTTATAGGAGACTGTACCATTTTAATTACCGCGAAACGTTTAATGTTTATTTTTAATGTTATAGTCAATAAACAATGGCCAAGCAACTGCTGCGATAGCAAAATGTTTCCCTTACTATATAGTTGTCAATCTGGAGGCACTCATTCTTTGTTACACTGGTGAATACCTTTCTACGAAAGTAAGTTGATCACATAAACAACATTTTACAGGTATTATTAATTAATTTTCTATTATTAACACAAAGATTTTTCTTCGTTTTCATTATCATTTTAACTTTCTTCTTTTTTTTTATAGAGTGAGAACATTGGTTGTATTGCATACAATTCTGATTGGTATGAATTGACTATTTATGAAATTCGTGCTATTTTCTTGTTAATATTACGTTCTCAAAAGCCTCTAACTCTTACAATTGGGAAATTCATGAATCTCTCTTTAGAAACATTTGCTGATGTAAGAACTTTTTATGCTTCTATAACAATATTAAAATAAGTCATTTTTAATTACTTAATATTATTGAATGCTTAATATTTGCCGCGTCACGATTGAATTCTTTCGGGAATCCTGGTGGTTTGTAGAGCCACCTCGCCACGATTTGTCAATGTTGCTCGCTGAGTAGGGTAGGGTATATTCGCGGGTACGAATTGAAGCTAAGATGTAGTTAAGTGATAGACTACAGTCGAACACAGACTGTAACAACGTCTAATAAGAGATCTAAAGAAGTCGAACGATAGACAAACAGACAACGTTAGGGTTGAAAGATAGAAGAACGACTGACTTCTAGTAGTTGAACTGAAGAAGAAAGAAAATTAATAAGAGAAAGCGTCCCTGAACCGAAGACGCTGGTGGAGGAACCGCTTCCTACAGAGTGGCGTGACAAAAGTGACCATTTCTGGAAAATATCTCTTGCGGTCCCAGGACCGAACATCCCTAGTTAACCCCTTAACTACTGTGGGCGTATATACGCGCTCAGAAATTTTGCTTTTGTGACATGGAAGGCGCATATAAGTGCTCAACACAGTTTGCTTTTGTAACACGGAGGGTGCATATAAGCGCTCAACACAGTTTGCTTTTCTGACACGGAGGGCGCATCTCTACCCAAAATTTTTCCGTTCTCGGCGGACATGGTAAATGAATTCCTACCCGTGTGGTAGGAATAGGTGTCGTAGTCAGAGGGTTAAGTGGAGGACTATTTATGTC